TGTCTTAAATTCCTTGTTAATTGTTTATATACGCACCGCAGCTTGCTATTCGTTCCGAATTTTATTCACACGCTTTATTGTCGTAATTGCTTAATTTTTTAATTGTATCGTTACATTTTATACATATATATATCATATACATATGTTATATTTTACAAGTGCACCAGATGGTGATTTGCCTCGTATAAAAGTCGTGTTAATAATGTATAGTACTGTGTCTTGTTGAACGTCACGCTCGTGTCACGTCACGCTCGTGTCACGTCACGCTCGTGTCATGTCACGCTCGTGTCACGTCACGCTCGTGCTGACGAGCGTGTCACTATACTACTCTCTCTCCGTGTAGATTGTAGAAACGTCTACATACCTTCTGGAATATGAACTAACAATATCCATCATATAATTGGTTTTAAGCCTATCAGAAACGTGTCAATTACACACACATAGAACTACAGTTTATGATTCGATGAACGCTTTGTTTATTTTCCTTGAAATAGCAGTCTACAACTTGTCAACTCCGGAACTATGATATATATAGTATATATATAAAGCCACAATGTATTACTATCTTGTATAGGTACACATTTACCGCATAGCAATTTTCACCTTCGTCGTCTAAGTCAGACCAACATTATTAAATAGGTACATTCTCCACACTTTATACGGTACACCCTGTACATTCTGGGAACTAAAACACTTCTTTGTAACTTGTAGCGCTGGGAACTACACTTCTTAATTGTAACTTCAAACTTGTAGCGCTATGACACCAGATACGTCATACTCGTGTATAATGTTGCGCGTTTGAAACTTGTTATAGTTTCATAGTTTTAATTCAACGTTTCATAGTTTCATAGTTTTAATTCAACGTGTTATAGTTTCATAGTTTTAATTCAACGTGTTATAGTTTCATAGTTTTAATTCAACGTTTCATAGTTTCATAGTTTTAATTCAACGTGTTATAGTTTCATAGTTTTAATTCAACGTGTTATAGTTTCATAGTTTTAATTCAACGTGTTATAGTTTCATAGTTTTAATTCAACGTGTTCTAGTTTCATAGTTTTAATTGAACGTTTCATAGTTTTAATTGAACGTGTTATAGTTTCATAGTTTTAATTCAACGTGTTATAGTTTCATAGTTTTAATTCAACGTGTTATAGTTTCATAGTTTTAATTCAACGTGTTATAGTTTCATAGTTTTAATTCAACGTATTATAGTTTCATAGTTTTAATTCAACGTGTTATAGTTTCATAGTTTTAATTCAACGTGTAAAAGTTTCATAGTTTTAATTCAACATGTTATAGTTTTATAGTTTTAATTCAACGTGTTATAGTTTCATAGTTTTAATTCAACGTGTTATAGTTTCATAGTTTTAATTCAACGTGTTATAGTTTCATAGTTTTAATTCAACGTGTTATAGTTTCATAGTTTTAATTCAACGTGTTATAGTTTCATAGTTTTAATTCAACGTGTTATAGATTCATAGTTTTAATTCAACGTGTTATAGTTTCATAGTTTTAATTCAACGTATTATAGTTTCATAGTTTTAATTCAACGTGTTATAGTTTCATAGTTTTAATTCAACGTGTAAAAGTTTCATAGTTTTAATTCAACGTGTAAAAGTTTCATAGTTTTAATTCAACATGTTATAGTTTTATAGTTTTAATTCAACGTGTTATAGTTTCATAGTTTTAATTCAACGTGTTATAGTTTCATAGTTTTAATTCAACGTGTAAAAGTTTCATAGTTTTAATTCAACATGTTATAGTTTTATAGTTTTAATTCAACGTGTTATAGTTTCATAGTTTTAATTCAACGTGTTATAGTTTCATAGTTTTAATTCAACGTGTTATAGTTTCATAGTTTTAATTCAACGTGTTATAGTTTCATAGTTTTAATTCAACGTGTTATAGTTTCATAGTTTTAATTCAACGTGTTATAGTTTCATAGTTTTAATTCAACGTATTATAGTTTCATAGTTTTAATTCAACGTGTTATAGTTTCATAGTTTTAATTCAACGTGTAAAAGTTTCATAGTTTTAATTCAACATGTTATAGTTTTATAGTTTTAATTCAACGTGTTATAGTTTCATAGTTTTAATTCAACGTGTTATAGTTTCATAGTTTTAATTCAACGTGTTATAGTTTCATAGTTTTAATTCAACGTGTTATAGTTTCATAGTTTTAATTCAACGTGTTATAGTTTCATAGTTTTAATTCAACGTGTTATAGTTTCATAGTTTTAATTCAACGTGTTATAGTTTCATAGTTTTAATTCAACGTATTATAGTTTCATAGTTTTAATTCAACGTGTTATAGTTTCATAGTTTTAATTCAACGTGTAAAAGTTTCATAGTTTTAATTCAACGTGTTATAGTTTTATTGTTTTAATTCAACGTGCTATAGTCTCATAGTTTTAATTCAACGTGTTATAGTTTCATAGTTTTAATTCAACGTGTTATAGTTTCATAGTTTTAATTCAACGTGTTATAGTTTCATAGTTTTAATTCAACGTGTTATAGTTTCATAGTTTTAATTCAACGTGTTATAGTTTCATAGTTTTAATTCAACGTATTATAGTTTCATAGTTTTAATTCAACGTGTTATAGTTTCATAGTTTTAATTCAACGTGTAAAAGTTTCATAGTTTTAATTCAACGTGTTATAGTTTTATTGTTTTAATTCAACGTGCTATAGTCTCATAGTTTTAATTCAACGTGTTATAGTTTCATAGTTTTAATTCAACGTGTTATAGTTTCATAGTTTTAATTCAACGTCTCTCTCGTAATTGCTGAACTGCACTGTTTGATACACTGTCCGTGTTAATATGTTCACTGTCCAGATGACAGTCCGGCAAACAGTTATTACTTATATTTTGTCGCCTATATAAGTATATATTATATACTAAGATACTAATCCTATTATATATAGTCTTTTTGCCTTCCAAATTCTCCTGTGAACACATTTGTGCACCTAATTGAATATTCCCGCTCAGAAGCGTTATGATACACTGCAGCAGCCCCCTCATAATGCATAACTCTATGCTTGTTGAAAACACTGCCATTTCCCAGCTGGGTGTTTTACACACGCTTGTATTCTGTAGCAGGGAGAAGCTATTCTGTTGTTTGTGTAAGGTTTCCTTCACACATCTGTACGATACCCATGTACATTGTACAATGTACAATGTACAATGTACAATGTACACATTCCTAACTGTAAATGGTGATTGGTCGGGTGTGAGAGCGTGTAATTTGTCATCGCAGTGTAGTTCTATAATATGAAATTCTTTGTGTTTATCTTTTATAGCTTGTTCGAGAGTGTGTTATTGTTATATGGCACCTATTTTTATCCACCGCATCCAAATTTTTTCTGGCGATGTTTTGCAAGCCGTCAGTTTCTTAACTCTGCTTACCATTGCAAGCCGTCAGTTTCTTAACTCTGCTTACCATTGCAAGCCGTCAGTTTCTTAACTCTGCTTACCATTGCAAGCTGTCAGTTTCTTAACTCTGCTTACCATTGCAAGCCGTCAGTTTCTTAACTCTGCTTACCATTGCAAGCCGTCAGTTTCTTAACTCTGCTTACCATTGCAAGCTGTCAGTTTCTTAACTATGCTTACCATTGCAAGCCGTCAGTTTCTTAACTCTGCTTACCATTGCAAGCTGTCAGTTTCTTAACTATGCTTACCATTGCAAGCCGTCAGTTTCTTAACTCTGCTTACCATTGCAAGCCGTCAGTTTCTTAACTCTGCTTACCATTGCAAGCCGTCAGTTTCTAAACTCTGCTTACCATTGCATCTATTCATGTATATTGTATAATGGTAGTAAACCTAGATATTTGTAGAATGCTCACTTTTAGTTTGTGAGGGAGACTGCACAAGATGTAAAATGTGTTACTTTGTGTTACAAGGTGTGTGTTACTTTGTGTTACAAGGTGTGTGTTACTTTGTGTTACAAGGTGTGTGTTACTTTGTGTTACAAGGTGTGTGTTACTTTGTGTTACAAGGTGTGTGTTACTTTGTGTTACAAGGTGTGTGTTACTTTGTGTTACAAGGTGTGTGTTACTTTGTGTTACAAGGTGTGTGTTACTTTGTGTTACAAGGTGTGTGTTACTTTGTGTTACAAGGTGTGTGTTACTTTGTGTTACAAGGTGTGTGTTACTTTGTGTTACAAGGTGTGTGTTACTTTGTGTTACAAGGTGTGTGTTTCTGTGCAGTGTTCAGCTGCATGTGTGTTACTTTGCTGAACAAGCTGCTTCCCCGACCCCCCTATCCTATAAGCGCCTACTCAAACTCAGTTTTTTCTAGTCGGTTTATCTTCGGAATGCTGTTGGTTTTCTCACAATATAGTTTTAGTAATAATCAACAGTATAGGGTGCACTCAGATATACAGAGAGTCTACACTTGCGATACATAAACATTAAATGTTTGACATGCCAACGATTGATATCAAGTATCAGATTTACTATGATAATCATTAGTCAGTAGCTACGTCATATTATATCGAGGTGTTTGTGAAAAATATTTTGAATTCCTCTCGTCTAGTCATATAAGTAAATACTGGGGGTTAAGGAGTATGAGTTCACTCTAAGGTTTAGCTTAGTATTATGTACACTTCCTACACCGGCCCATTCCTTTCTAGTCTTCACTCTGTTAGAGGTATGCATAAAGACCTTCCATCAATTTCGCTATAATTATGCTAAGAATTATGAGCTTCTTGCCGTGTATAATCTGGTTTTGTGTTACAACTCACTGTACATCAGATAACTGATCAAATTCTCGAGTTTATCCCCAATAATCGTTGTTGGATTATCATTTACTCGCTTTCTGCGTTGGACGTTGTTAAATGTATATATAATTATCGCATGTATATGTACATTGTACTTGTTATAAATATCCACAGTTCTAGTCATTATAGTTATAATTGCTGTCCAGCTAAATTATAAACGCAAAGAAATTGAGCCTTATATACATTGAAATGTCGTCATGTTCGTTGTATTTGTAGTATTACCTCAATAAATGTATTTAATTGTAGTTGTGAAAATTATTTAAAACTATTCACAACTACAATTGAATAAATTTATTGAGGTGATACTACTTTGTGAGCTTGTGGATGGCCGTAAAAAGCCGAAACTAGTCGAGTCACAAGCGGGTCGCCTCGATCAGGTACATCGTTTTCATGTTTCCATGACTACTCCCAATTGTAAGATAGTGGTCTGTAGTTGGATGACACGAACCGGAACATTTGACACTGTTAGTCAGGGCAGTATAGCAGACGCTCAAAGAACTTGGAGTCATGCCAAGAAGAAACTCAGACGACAATTCAGAAAAAATGCCAGACAGGTAAACCAATCAATGAATATCCGAATTAGGCCGGACAATTGTATTTCTTGTATTTGTGTTGCACAACATGCTCCACCCCTACATGACACGAGACTGAACAATAGTTTTGCAGTTGTTGGAAGACGTAGTGGACAGAGTTAACTACGAGCCTTGGTCGGAGGACCATAAGATAGACTTTGTGCTGGTTTACCAACCCATAAAGAAATACATGGACTCTTCCAATGGACTAGGTTTGATTTAAAATCAATAAGTTAAATACATACAGTTTCCTTGAAGTTTTTATAAAGTTGTTAATAGTATTAAGAATACTAATACACATACTACACAAGTAAGTGTATATAGAAGGGAATGTATGTGTATATAGAAGGGAAGCTAACACCTCAACCTTCAGTGGACGCAAACCCCCGACAGATAGATCAGGATGATATAGAGGAGTTGAAGAAGGGAGAAAAGGGAGATAAAGCGGCCATCATGAGAGTCGAATATATCAACCTGCTCAGAGAGAATGGGCTCGAGATAGAAATTGAGGTTTTTGCTTTTATTTTCTGAACCAAAAACTAACGTCAGAAATAGTTATTGTTTTTAATGGGTGTTCATGTCATATGTAAGCCTCTTGATTATACAACCTTTGAAACGTAGTTTTTTCAGAATTTCTGTTCCAAGTTTGAGGAGTATAGGGCGATCAAAATATGTGGAACTGATTACGCAATGGACAACTGGGCAGAAAAGTTCCTACTCATGAAACCAGTGGAGCCACCTTTTGGTGAGTGAGAGTCATCAAGAGTGATGATAGATCTGGCTTGCTACTTTTATTTTTAGCAGTAGACTTGGAAATTCTTAGATCGGTACGCTTAAATATTGATAGAACCGTTATTTTACGCTATCAGAGAGCTACACAGAGAAGCCACTTATAGCTAGGTGAAAAGTATATAATAAATACATAATTTGAAATTTGAAGGGGCTTTACTTTGAGATTGGTCATTGGAGCCATCAATGGCAATCCTTTTTGTTTTTCTACTAACGGCTGCAGATAACCAACATGACCGTACCATCATATTGGTCTGCTACATAATAGAATACAGACAAATAGAATATAATAGTGCAGATAATACAAATAGAATAAGATAGTGCAGATAATACAAATAGAATAAGATAGTGCAGATAATACAAATAGAATAGATAGTGCAGATAATACAAATAGAATATGATAGTGCAGATAATACAAATAGAATATGATAGTGCAGATAATACAAATAGAATAAGATAGTGCAGATAATACAAATAGAATAAGATAATGCAGCTAATACAAATAATAATAATAATTTAATAATTTATAGTGCAGATAATACAAATAGAATATGATAGTGCAGATAATACAAATAGAATGTGATAGTGCAGATAATACAAATAGAATAAGATAGTGCAGATAATACAAATAGAATAAGATAGTGCAGCTAATACAAATAATAATAATAATTTAATAATTTATAGTGCAGATAATACAAATAGAATATGATAGTGCAGATAATACAAATAGAATATGATAGTGCAGATAATACAAATAGAATATGATAGTGCAGATAATACAAATAGAATAAGATAGTGCAGATAATACAAATAGAATAAGATAGTGCAGATAATACAAATAGAATAAGATAGTGCAGCTAATACAAATAATAATAATAATTTAATAATTTATAGTGCAGATAATACAAATAGAATATGATAGTGCAGATAATACAAATAGAATGTGATAGTGCAGATAATACAAATAGAATATGATAGTGCAGATAATACAAATAGAATACGATAGTGCAGATAATACAAATAGAATATGATAGTGCAGATAATACAAATAGAATATGATAGTGCAGATAATACAAATAGAATAAGATAGTGCAGATAATACAAATAGAATAAGATAGTGCAGCTAATACAAATAATAATAATAATTTAATAATTTATAGTGCAGATAATACAAATAGAATAAGATAGTGCAGATAATACAAATAGAATAAGATAGTGCAGATAATACAAATAGAATATGATAGTGCAGATAATACAAATAGAATAAGATAGTGCAGATAATACAAATAGAATAGATAGTGCAGATAATACAAATAGAATAAGATAGTGCAGATAATACAAATAGAATAAGATAGTGCAGTTAATACAAATAGAATATGATAGTGCAGATAATACAAATAGAATAAGATAGTGCAGCTATAATAGCACGACACATTAGTCACCGTGATCCACCAAACTTCACCTCCTGTTTCTCAAGATAACCTAGTGAGCGGTTATATAACTCCACCAAACTTCACCTCCTGTTTCTCAAGATAACCTAGTGAGCGGTTATATAACTCCACCAAACTTCACCTCCTGTTTCTCAAGATAACCTAGTGAGCGGTTGGAGGACGGAGCGTCGACTACACCAAGACAGGGACCTCTACACTCGACAGAAGTCCGAACAGGGTGCGTGTGTGAGTTTGTGTGATCAATATGTGTGAGTTTGTGTGAGTTTGTGTGAGTTTGTGTGAGTTTGTGTGAGTTTGTGTGAGTTTGTGTGAGTTTGTGTGAGTTTGTGTGAGTTTGTTTGAGTTTGTGTGAGTTTGTGTGAGTTTGTGTGAGTTTGTGTGATCAGTATGTGTGAGTTTGTGTGAGTTTGTGTGAGTTTGTGTGAGTTTGTGTGAGTTTGTGTGAGTTTGTGTGAGTTTGTGTGAGTTTGTGTGAGTTTGTTTGAGTTTGTGTGAGTTTGTGTGAGTTATATAGCGAGTGGTTTGTCTGGATTGGAACGAACATTTCATCATTCGACGTTTTACCCCATCTCCATTCAAATTTTGGGTCTGTCTGGGTATTTGTGTTAGGCTTAGGGTTGCGGTTAGGGTTAGGGTTAGGGTGAATACTGAGGGTCAAACGTTGTGAGATGAAATGTTGATCACGAAAAGTAGCAAATATTATTGCCATGAAGTGAGCGCTGAACTTGCCATGAAGTGAGCGCTGAACTGCGGGGTTGTGTCGGAGAAACATGGTTTTTACGTGCTATCATCACAGCAACCATGTTTCTCTTGCATTTCTCCGAGGTACGCTTGCTTAGCTAGTGCATGGTGGCCAAGATGGGCACATTTGGCCACCGTGTTATACACAGTGTTATAGTACGTATAGTATATATATTAGTGTCCGACTTAGCTTTACCCGTGTGTCCAATAGAACAGGCTGAAGTGATAGCAGAGTGTGAGGAATGTGAGGAGATGCCGGAGGGGAGTGCACCACAACAGGGAGCCGAAATCTCCCACTCTTTTACTCGGCAGCAGTCTGAACCAGCTCCTCCTCGCCACTCTGCCCACCCTCCCAGACTCTACCCTTCGCTTAGTGGGTACATGGAGGGCAGGGATCATTGGGGCAGGATCCGTAAGTTAACAGCTCGCTGCACGTGACATGTGACATATTATGTGCATATTACCTGACATATCTTGTGCTCGATTGATTTTCCGAGTTATATTACAGATATTATTTTGATTATAAACGATTTCTTTGCTTGTCTGTGGAATCACCCTCTCATTATAGCTGGGATTATTATAGGAAAGGATGTTGATGAGATTGCTGGTCTTTATGAAAACCGATATGCATGTGTATTTTATAATCTAGCATAATCTAAAATCAATAACATATTATGGTAGTAATTTAATAGGTTCTCCGAACGAACATTTGTTAATTGTGTTGTGTCCAGAGGTTTTGTCCATATCTAACTCCAAGCTGATTGGTTGGTAGCTGTGCAGTGTGCACGTGTCAAAACAAATGCTTTATGTCTCCGTTCGCTACTGTAAAGTGCAAACATTATAAGCTCATACATGCAACTAAGCAACTTGGTAATCACACTGTATATCGACAACCTTATATCGCCATTCGATTGGATTTCTGACAGGGGAAGTCCTGAAATATTAGCACAATATTGATACTATCTTGTGAGGCTAGTTCTAATACACTTCAGTGAAAATTTTGCTGATATGCCAACGAAATTAACTTGCTCAAAAATAAAAAACATGTTGTTTTGGCCTATTGTTGGACCGAAAATTGAATTTGAACCGCGTAAACTCAATCTAATTATCTCAGGACCACTTTGAATTATACCGTCAAAAATACGGAATATCTGGAGTCCCTAGCGTATCGAGCAGAAAATGCCTGTAAGTCATTCTACTACAGGACAATATAACATGCGTGACGATATACAGTGTATGTCGAGATACAGTGTGCAAATCATGAAAATTATATAAACCTTGTATGAGAACTACTTAATCAAAGGGTTATACGATCATTAGAACATTACCCTTATTTAAGTCTTTACAAAGTAACCTAACGACCGCAGTTATTAACATTACCCTTATTTAAGTCTTTACAAAGTAACTTAAAGAATTAGTAATTAACATTACCCTTATTTAAGTCTTTGCAAAGTAACCTAAAGACCGCAGTTATTAACATTACCGTTATTTAAGTCTTTACAAAGTAACCTAAAGACCGCAGTAATTAACATTACCCTTATTTAAGTCTTTACAAAGTACCCTAAAGACCGCAGTAATTAACATTACCCTTATTTAAGTCTTTCCAAAGTAACCTAAAGACCGCAGTTATTAACATTACCCTTATTTAAGTCTTTACAAAGTAACCTAAAGACCGCAGTAATTAACGTTACCCTTATTTAAGTCTTTACAAAGT